CGGGACCCGGTTCTCCCTCCCTCCCCCCCCCCCCCTCGCTGGGAACACACTCGCACCGACTCGCAGCCGCACGCGGGCCCCGCACAATATACATCCACATGCACAAGCATGTATCTGAAAAAATGTCTAGATTAGAAAGTGCGAAATGAAGCAGGCGCATATGTACGGACTCCCATGCGCCTCCCGCCCCCTCGATCTGTCGTCGCACTGGCCGAGGAGCGAGAGGAAGGCCCTGCCAGCTTGTCCTCTTCCCCAGGGCGGCATGCGGCACAGAAAAAAAAGAAAGAGGAAGAAGAGGAGGAGGAAGAGGAAGTCCCGGCCTCGGGGCAGCTTCCCTGCCCGGTCCCCGCGCCCGTCTTTCACGGCTGGTAGCCAAGGTTCGAGTTGAGCCACCGCTCGGAGTCGGCCAGGCCGTCGACATCGCCCCGGCGGGCGGAGTAATCCTCCAGCTGGTCGCGGGCCAGCTTGCCAACCGCGAAGTACTGGGCATGCGGGGCGGCCATGTAGAGACCGCTGACGGCGGCGGTCGGCACCATGGCCAGCGAGTCGGTGAGGGTGACACCGGCGGTGGCGGCGTCCGGGAAGTCGGCCAGGGGGGACCCGGCAGCCAGGCCGAGGTCCTGGTCGGCGGTCCCGTCCAGGACCCGGGCCGTGGGAAGCTGCTTGGCCAGCAGGCTCCAGAGGGCCAGCTTCTCCCGGTGGTCCGGCTGGGTGGGGTAGCCACAGGCGGGCCGGATGCCGGAGTACCGGCACCGGTGCATGTCTTCCGGGCTGAGGTCCTCCTCCGGGGCGTAGCCCCAGATCTTGCGGCGGACCTCGGCATGCAGCCACTCGGCCAGCGCCTCGGCCAGGCGGTCGGCCAGGGCGTCGGCCATGATGGCGCCATAATCGTCGCCGGCCTTGCGCAGGCTGGCCGCATACTGGTCCAGGCCGAAGCCGGCGCAGGTGACGAACACGCCCACATGGTCGGTGAGGCCGGTGTCCCGGGGGGCCACGAAGTCCGACAGGCAGTGGTACGCATCCGGCGAGATGGAGTCCGCCAGGTCGGCATCGCGCTCGGTCTGCTGGCGCAGGCCACGGAAGGTGGCCAGGACCTCGGTGCGGTCCTCATCGGCATAGACCTGCGCACCCGGAATGGCGGGGCGGGGGGGGGCGGGGCGGGGGGGGGGGGGGGGGGGGGGGGGGGGGGGGGGGGGGGGGGGGGGGGGGGGGGGGCGATTCGAGGAAAACACACCCCGCCAAGGGGGCGAGGCCAGGGAGGAGCCCCCCATCTCCTGTGCGGGCCGCGCGGCAGGCCCGGACCACGCCGGGCGGGAGTTGCCCAGGCGCCCACCGTCGCCGGGACGGACGGGCGCCCGTGCCCGCGGGCGCGGGGGGGGGGGGGCGGGGCGGGGGGTGTCAGCGGGTGTGGGCCAGGCAGCAATGGAGCCCGAGGAAGAGGCAGCGAGAGAGGGAGGGGGAAGAGAAAAGGGAGAAAGCAACCCACCTCAATGTCATCACCAACACTGTTCGACGGGTAGATGCCGAGGATGGCGCGCGCGGTGAGCAGCTTCTTGCCGACGATGTTGCTGAGCATGGCCTGGGCATCGTTGAAGACGCGCTTGGCGTCCGGGCCGACATCCTGGTCGTTGAAGATCTTCGGGTAGCCGCGGTTGGGGTACTTGCCGCGGAGCTGCCACACCTGGAAGAAGGGGTTCCAGTCGATGTAGGGGATGATCTGATCCAGCGGGACGTCCGGCAGCAGGAAGGTACCGGTCTTCCGGGGGGTCGGGGCCCGGGACAGGGACCAGTCCTCGACGGCCGGGGCGCGGGCGCGCGCCTGTTCCAGGGTCAGGAAGCGCTGGTCACGCAGCGAGGCGTAATGGTCCTCGCGGAGCTCCTCATACTCGTCCTCGATGTCCTCGACAAGCTCCTCGCGGAGGCGGGCGTCCACCAGGGCCGAGACCTGGCGGCCGTGGGGGG